AATTTATTAAAACTAAAAACATTTTCTAAAACGCGAAATAATTTTTTTTTTTAAATGCAACAGTGTGATGACACACTATCTGAACACCACCCCCCCCCCCCCTCCCCTTCATCACACAAAGTCACAAAATTACGGATCCCCCTCCCCCTACAAGTGTGATGTCATTTATGGACGACCCATAAGTTACTGGAATCTATTTCCTATTACGTTGTGTAATTCCTATCCTGTCTGCTTTTTTTTTCGAAACTGTTCTGACATTGTCTATTGAATTGTGAGTGGTCTGTCGACTTTAATACAATTGTACTTAATTAAAAATGTTAGATATTTCTTGAGTTGTTTTAATTCTCTCTAAGGAAAATCTGTAAGTTTAAAATTTCATATGGAAATAATGTAGTTCCGACTGTATTTACGAGTAGTTCCTGGTCTTTCTAAATGGTTTATTGAGTTTCTGGGTTTTCTTAACGAATTTGTGTACTTCTGAGTCTTTCTTAACGAACTAGTGTAGTTCCAGGTCTTATATTAAAGGAACTAATGCAGTTCCTTACTTTCTAGGGTAACTAATATAGTTCCGCATCTTTCTAAGGGAACTAATGTAGTTGTTCCAGGACATCCTCAGGAACTACTGTTGCTCCCTACGATCTAGTCAAGGAAAAAGTCCGTGTCTGCAAGCATATTGGTTCGACTTTGAACTATCGTAGCTTTTAATTAAACACGCCATAAAACTCCCGAACTAGGCAAAAAAAAAAGTATGCCTGTAAACTTTATCAAGAGCAAGTTATGAATGTGTTTCGTTGGTGTTCTGCTCAAATGTGTTTGGTTCGTGTTCTGCTCAAATGTGTTTCGTTCGTGTTCTGCTCAAATGTGTTTCGTTCGTGCTCTGCTCAAATGTGTCAAAGTTCATCATCACGAATTCATCTTTTCATTTGTGTGACTAAGACACTTGGGGCCATATTTACTAGTTAAGATATTTTAAAAATTCTTTTTGGATATCTGATTGTAGAATAGTAAGATTTATTCTTGAAATTATTGTGTTATTTCATAAATGCAATGTATGTAAAATGCCTTTTTGAAATGTATACGTTCAAAGTATTAAAATATTTCGGTGTTGTATTTCTACTGATAGGTGGTGTATTTATACTGATAAGTGGTGTATTATACTGATATATGCTGTATTTATAATGATAAGTGGTGTATTTATACTGATAAGTGGTGTATTTATACTGATAGTGGTACTTTGATGAGGCTGGGTGTTGTATAATGGCACTTGGACACAAAACAAATGATTTTAATTGAATGAATCGCATTGTCGGCCATAGATGGGTAAAATAGGCATTTAGTTTTTTTTTTAATATGAGGCTGGGTTGTGCCTTAGTTTATCGTTACACTAGGTTGGTGGGTTAAAATACGTCACATAAAGTAAATGCTTTACTCTAGACATGGCAGAGTTAAAATACATCAAATAAATTAAGGGCTTTACTCTAGACATGGCAGAGTTAAAATACATCAAATAAATTAAGGGCTTTACACTAGGCATGGCAGAGATAAAATACATCAAATGAATTAAGGGCTTTACTCTAGACATGGCAGAGTTAAAATACATCAAATAAATTAAGGGCTTTACTCTAGACATGGCAGAGTTAAAATACATGAAATAAATTAAGGGCTTTACACTAGACGAACAGGGTTAAAACTCATCCCGTAATTGAAAGCCTTCAACCGGTGTAAATAAGAACTGTGAGGTAAATACCTGCCCAACGTGTCTACGGAAACCTGGGTTACCTGAAACACCTGGAGAAGGTAGTTTTTTAATGGCGGCTCGGGGAGAGTTTGTTGTGGGGATTGTTGTGTTCAGGATTCGGTGGCTGGACGTTCAGAATTGGTTTTCTGTGAAGTGAAGTGATGGTTTCCTGTGAGGTAAAATATGGTTTTACATGAGGTTAAAAATGGTTTTCTGTGAAGTGATGGTTTTCTGTGAGGTAAAATATGGTTTTACATGAGGTTAAAAATGGTTTTCTGTGAAGTTAAAAGATGGTTTTCTGAGACTTAAAATGTCAGGGTAGAAATGGGTTTCTGGGTAGGTTGAAATATGGTTTTCTGTGAGGTGTAAAGATGGTTTTCTGTGAGGTGTAAAGATGGTTTTCTGTGAGGTGTAAAGATGGTATTGTGTGAGGTTTAAAGATGGTTTTCTGTGAGGTTTTAAGATGGTTTTCTGTGAGGTTTAAAGATGGTTTTCTGTCAGACTAAAAGATAGTTTTTGTGTGGGTTAAACTATGATCTTCTGTGGGGTCGAAAGATGGTTTTCTGAGCGGGATAAATGATAGTTTTCTCTGAGAGTAAATGATGTTCTGATGCGCAAGAAGTGTGAATGTTAAATTCAGTTTTGTCTTAAGATGGTATAGGCCCGGCACTTTAAGTTGACGTAAACAATCGTGCTACACACGTGTTTAATCAACTTGTCTCTGTGCAATCAATTAATTTTTCACAGTTTTAAGCTGCAGTCACTTGAAATAAATTCATCCAATAATTAAGCTGTAACTACAGTAACCCAGGCACCGCTGCCCCCCCCCCCCCCCCCGGTCACTGACACCACGACCAGCCGTTTTGGTGCAGCACGATGTGATTGAACCACACCACCACCAAACCAAAAACTCCACCAGCAACATTGCTCAGCGCGCCATCCTCTCACGTCTGCTATTTTGTGTTGCACCGGATGTTTTCCTCACTTTTGTGTTCAACTGTTTAAAAAACGGTTGAAGCCGGGTTTAAAAAAAATAACAAAACACCTTTAAATCACGTGACGTCCTGTAATAACAACGTGCTCACCTTGAGAAAGGTATGAGCACAAAAATGTGCAATCACCGCTCGTCTAGCGGAAGTTATGTGCTGCAGGTATGTGGTTGAGGCGTTTCACACTTCCACACAGCTCCATACATACACTTATATACACCTCTACACACCCAAACACACCTCCGCACACCTCTACACACCCACACACACCTCCACACACCTGCACATACCCACACATCCACACATCTCAACACAACCACACACACCTCTACACACCCACACACACCTCCACACACCTGCACATACCCACACATCCACACATCTCAACACAACCACACACACCTCTACACACCCACACACACCTCCACACTCCGGCACACACCCACACATCCACACACCTAAACGCAACCACACACAACTCCACACACCTGCACACAACTCCACACATCCACACACACCTAAATACAACCACACACCCACACAAGCCCACACCTTCACATCTTTACATATCGACACACCCACACATACACACAAAGTGTGTGTGTGTGTGCGGAACCAAAGTGCAGACACTGCACTATCTGACTTGAAGCTGTTCAAATCATCAGCGGCTCTGTGTTACCTCAGTGTATGGCCCGTAGACATGCTAATCCACATTTCTTTCTCTCTGTGTTGCCTTAGTGTGTGGCCCGTAGACATGCAGATCCAAATTTCTTTCTCTCTGTGTTGCCTTAGTGTGTGGCCCGTAGACATGCAGATCCAAATTTCTTTCTCTCTGTGTTGCCTTAGTGTGTGGCCCGTAGACATGCAGATCCAAATTTCTTTCAGTCTCTGTGTTGCCTTAGTGTGTGGCCCGTAGACATGCAGATCCAAATTTCTTTGACTCTACTTCAGTTGAACAAAAACAACAACAAAGTTTTACTTTTGATCGTGTGTGTTTGAACACATGTTCACAGCTCCTTATATCAGCTTAGTTTCTCTAAAACCACACAAAAAGTAATCGTTGAAAGCGTTTCAATTTTAAACAGTTTCTTCCTTCATCCATATTAGACGTGATTAGAAATTAATTATTACTAGATAGACTCGAATATTTGTTTCCTCTGCAGGTCTGTTTGTGGGGTTTTCACAATTTATTTTTGTACAACGTCTTTGGGTAGTCTATGCTGAAATCTCAGAACTCTTTAATCAATTTCGGCTTGGGAGATTACCTCCAAAAGGTACAGACTACATTGGATGATAACGAAAGATTATCTTTTCTATGTTTTTTAATTATATATTAGTCATTACAATTAATCTGAAGATAGGATATTCAAATGAAAACGCAAGTAGCGAATTCTCAATTAGTCGGATGAGCTGTGTTTTACGGGTGCTGTTTTCCTTTGTATGCATTTAAAGGCGTGTTATTGTAAGAATATATTTATTTATTTATTTTTAATTTACGTTTACTTTGGCTACTGTTTACAATATCTTTTAAAACGTGTTGGGTAGATTTTAGTTAAGTGTTAACGGTAATGCTATAGTTATCGAAGTTACAGTTTTAATATTTAGCGACTCTGTTTTATGTATGAAATATCTAGCATTTGTAAATAAGAAGATAGCATTTCTGTATCAAGTGCTACCGTGTGTAAATGCGATTTTATATGTTATTTAAACAACCAACAGGCAATGGATGTGTTTATTACATAGTTTTACAGACGTTTCTCACATAGCATAAAGTCAGTTCTCTTGTAAGCATTTGTGAGGCTCGCTTGAATTCGGCTGACAGTCGGGCACTTATCGTGTGAATAAATTGTACCATTGCAGACTGGTCTGTTTATCGTGTTGGTGTCTTGTTATAAAATAGTATTTTATATTCTCTGTAGGACTTTTAGCCAGGGACGATGGATGTGATTTTTTGTTCGGTTTTCGAAGATTAAAATTAAAATTGAACTTTGTTAAACAAATATGGAGGACAGTGTAGAGAGGTCAATAGCTGACCTTGACCTCAACACGGGCGGCATGAGCGAGTCTAGTGATAACATTGCTCGGGGTAGCCTAGGTGAGTCTAGTGACCTCAACATTGATAGTGGCCAAAGTGATTTAGCTGACCACAACATTGATAGTGGCCAAAGTGATTTAGCTGACCACAACTCATCAGGTGAGCAAAGTGAAACATTGAACCGAAAAGTAAACGGTAGCGAAAGTGAGACCACTGATCACAAAACAGCATGTGGCCAAAGTGAATCCACTGACCACACCACGGCAGATGAACAAAGTGAACCCAGTAACTGCGGTAGCTCTGACGCCCCTCTGTTGACCGCTGTAGACCCACATCCAGACCCTCATCTCTCGGCATCAGATGTGGACCTCGTCTCTAACCAGTCTGACCACCCTCCTACCACAGCTGCTTCTCCTCAACCAACTTCTGCAGCTCAGGGAGAAAGTGCAGCAGATTCCACACGCCCTGACACACACGTCAGCAGCAACACGGTCTCAGCCAGCACTCCAGAAAATTTGGCACCACAAGAAACAGCTCTAACACAGAGTCCAGAATGTCAACACACTACATCAGAGCCTGAGTCTCAGCCCAACATCTCCTGTTCTGTAACTGAAGCAGTTCAATGTGTCTCTCGCGTCCATCACGTGACAGACACATCCCCGGTAACAAACACAGAGCTGCCACAGACTCCTTGTCTGGACAACTATCTGAACGAAGACGAGGCTGTGATGGAACTGACCGGCACCAACGCCCAGCTACACCGTGAACACAGAGCACCCAAGCGGTTCTGTGGTTCTGCGGACGGGGGTCTGGTGGAGGCTGCTGACATCGAGGACGACCGCGTCTTGCTGTACGCCGGACACATGATAGACAGCGGCATCACCATCACGTCCGACGCCGTGACCACACCGTCGGAAGACGAAGACTTCACAGTAGGCGATGAGAACTTGTCGGACGACTTCGTTGAGCAAGACCCGGGCAAAACGTACAAAAACCTCCCGGTGTACCCGGGCGAGTCAGTTCAGTATGAGGACAACTTCTCTCAGTTACCAGAACCTTCTGTCAGCCAGAGCTCTGTCATCATCCGCTACCCCAGCACAGACTCCCCACGGGTCGACCAGCGACTCATCTCCTGTGATGACGACTTTGATAGCCCCTTGTTCTCTCCCCTAGCCTTCACGCCCTTAGCTTTCGACGACGTGGTATTTTTCCCGACAAACACGTCACAAACCAAACGGTCAGCATACCTGGAGTACATGGCCTCCAACGAGCAGGTGCTGAAGGCCCTAGAGGTGGCGCGTCAGGTCGACAAGTTTGACGCCCTGCCGGCTGTGGAACTAGCGGAAGCGGCGGAGGCCTTCAGGCAGACCTTCAGAAGCGAGACCTCGGAAAGCTGTCTGCTGGAGACGGATTTCGCTGCCGGAATAAAAACCGGCCACTCCAGTTCCGTCAGCCGGAACGATGACGTCATACATTTTGAAGGGACGCACGTGACAGCAGGCGCCAGACCGAAGGAGCGTCTGCCGCTCACCCCGCACGTGTCGGAGAGCGGTCTCGTGTCCGGCCTGAAACTGCCGTCAAGGTCAAACCTGCTGCCGTCAGCAGGCGACACGCTACTCTCTCCCAGCATTGAGGACCCTTTCGACGACAGTTTCCGGTGAGTCACTTTTAAAATGCCATAAATAAAACGTCCCTTTACAATTTTAAAATAATGTATCTATATACCGACGTAGGAAAAAAAAAATCTGCTTTGTAAATATTTTTGTGTTAAATGACGACTTTGAGCTACCGTAGTTTGTATCCTGTAAAGTATACACTAACAGGAAAACCCAGAGCAGCCATACTCCCACATTTTAATTAACCCAAACGTATTGCTCGTATTTTGTTTACATTTCCAAACTCCCGAGATGAAAGCTACAGGCAGACGTCAACTCATCGCCAGGGTTTGTTTGGGTTGACTCACAACGAGTTTCATTTCTCTCTCCCCCTCCCCACTCTCTGTCTCTCTTCGTTCTTAGCTGAGAGAGAGAGAGAGAGAGACAGAGAGAGCAACACCCTACTTCTCAAAATGTATTTCCACCCTTTTCCCTCTTTAAATTACGCGGAGTTAAATGCTAATGACGTAAAAGAAAAGTAAGCGGCGTAAACCACTGATAATAATTTTATCAGTTGCTTCCCTTGGCACGTTTTCAAGCCAACTTTACTGATAATATATTTTTCATTCTCCTCAGGCATTTGCTGTAGATTAAAAATTTTAATTTAAAGATTAATATATAAATGGTATTTAAATAATCTAAAAAATTATTAACCTAGCGGCTGTTAATGATGAAAACCGATAAAAATTAGTGGCAAAAAATAATGACGAAATAACTTATTTTAAGATAGTGAAATATTTAATCACTGGTTACTAATACTATTTATCCATGTGAGTCTGAGTAACCATGGTTACCAATGCCAGGTAGTATTTTATTTCTGTGGACAAATTTGATGTGTCATGACATAAATACTTTTTTCCTTCTGTCGTGTGTCAGACTGGACACCACAGGGGACGACACCGATGTGTTCCTGGACGATGACCTTGACATTGATGGAGAGGGTGAGTGACGCATGACCCCCCCCCCCCCCTCAACTCATGCATGACGTTGTCCTGTGTGTAGTTAACGTGCACGGCATGACGAGTGCATGACGTAATACGAATTTGGCTTGAACACAGAGATGTGTGTACTACACACTAGCTTTGTTGTGGGTGTGTGTACTACACACTAGCTGTGTCATGGATGTGTATACTGTACACCAGATGTGTCAGACACACGAAGTACTACGCCCTAGGTAGGTTAGACAAGACGAGCGCTATACCATTGCTGTGTCAGTATTCATTACATAATCAAGGTGGTAGATCTTTGGCGAACTAAACAATGAGAGTGAGACGTGCACTCTTAAGGTAGCTACCATTAAAGTGGTATTCATGTTGGTGTAGCATCAAAGTGGTGTTCATGTTGGTGTAGTACCAAAGTGGTGTTCATGTTGGTGTAGTATCAAAGTGGTGTTCATGTTGGTGTAGCATCAAGGTGGTGTTTATGTTGGTGTAGCATCAAACTGGTGTTCATGTTGGTGTAGCATCAAGGTGGTGTTTATGTTGGTGTAGCATCAAACTGGTGTTCATGTTGGTGTAGTATCAAAGTGGTGTTCAAGTTGGTGTAGCATCAAAGTGGTGTTCATGTTGGTGTAGCATCAAGGTGGTGTTTATGTTGGTGTAGCATCAAACTGGTGTTCATGTTGGTGTAGCATCAAAGTGGTGTTCGTGTTGGTGTAGTATCAAAGGGGTGTTCATGTTGGTGTAGCATCAAACTGGTGTTCATGTTGGTGTAGCATCAAGGTGGTGTTTATGTTGGTGTAGTATCAAAGTGGTGTTCATGTTGGTGTAGCATCAAGGTGGTGTTTATGTTGGTGTAGCATCAAAGTGGTGTTCGTGTTGGTGTAGCATCAAACTGGTGTTCATGTTGGTGTAGCATCAAGGTGGTGTTTATGTTGGTGTAGCATCAAACTGGTGTTCATGTTGGTGTAGCATCGAAGTGATGTTTACACCAGTGTATTCACAAAGTGATGATGTTTATATCTGTGGAGCAATGAAGTGATACCTTCATATTGTAGTGACATTTAATGGCATGCATGTTTTATTAAAACTGACCACGAAGTGACCACGTAACAACGCCTGAATCTGATGGTTAAAAGTTGAACTGAAAACGGAGTCTCCTTGTAAGCCAACCAAAAGTCTATAAAACCAACTTAGTATGCCTGTTTAGAAACCTATCCCCAGTTCTAGAGTTTTAAAACGGTGCCACCTGATACGCTTGGATGGTTCCACACAAAATCTGACTTGACAGTTTCAACTGACAATCTAACACCCCAGATTGTGTTGATGTGTTCATTACCACACGTTGTGAGGGTATTTGTGTGTTTTGTTTGCTACATTTTGTTTGTACGAACCGTCAGTTTCTCTTGTTACACGTTTCATACAAGGTGAGAAACAAGATTAAACTGTAAACAAAAATTCAAGGGAGGTAATGCGTGAATATATTCGCCACCAATATTTTAATGCAAGAAAACTGTATGACGTATAAAAAACTGTTACAATAATTAAGATTTATTGCAAAAAATTGTGCATACATTTACACTACATTTTGGTATTGTTACTTAAGCACATAATTTTTACAATTACACTTCAAACATTTTTAAAACCTAATCTATTACAAAGGTAAGAGAATCATTATCAGCTAAATTAGATAATTAAAGCCTGATCAGATTCTGTATCTCTTGAGTTCTAACACCTAATGACTACATTGTACTCCCCATAGAAGCCATCATTACTCTGACAATACTTTGAGTTCTAGAGATCACATGCCTCGGTTCTAGAACCTCTGGTACTGTTGCAGTTAGTCATCGTCTGGTTTCACGCGGTGCACAGGATGGCATTTCTCTGATGGTAAGGCTAAAATGTCAGCCTTTAATTAAGTCTCATCTCCCGTCCACGGACCCACCCACCCCACCCACCCTGCCCGACCCCCGCGCAAACAACGTGTCAGTGATACATGTCGGTGCACGGGGATAATTGTAGCAGCAGGGTGGTGTCCACCGGAAGTCATGGGTGGGCGTGTCCCACGTGATAGGTCATCTTGTCTGGTGTGGTACAGCAACTCATCCAACACATGACATGATGGGCGGCGTTGAAACTACATACACTATATAGCAACTCATCCAATACATGACATGATGATAGGCGCCGTTGAAACTACATACACTATACAACAACTCATCCAACACATGACATCATGGGCGGCGTTGAAACTACATACACTATATACAGTGGCGTAGCGAGGTCGGGTGTCACCCGGTGCGGCACTTAATGGTGTCACCCCCCAGAGGCGTAGCGACCCTTCCCGGGGACAGACTTTCAAATTTTCGATTTACACCCCCCCCCCCCCTCAAACTTTCGATTTACACCTCCCACTCAAACTTTCGATTTGCAACCCCCTCTCAAGTTTTTCTATATATATATTGCTATTTTTTTGCCTTGGTGTCACTAGGTGCAGTCCGCACCCCCGCCCCCCCCCCCCCTCGCTACGCCTCTGACTATATAGCAACTCATCCAAAACATTACATGATAATCAACGTTGAAACTACATACACTATATAACAACTCATCCTGTAAAAACAACAGAAACTGAACTACGAATCTACGAATTACAGTAGAGAATATATCTACAATGTTCACGTATTCGATACTCACTTCATAATTTACAACATTTGACAAAATACCTGCAGTTATATTTCCTTAGTTTTCAATTATCAACACTATCTGAATGTGCACAACTATCAAGAGTATCTGAATGTGCATGTTTTACTTGATGTGTGTTTTAAATCTCAATTAATTACTTTGATAACTAACACTTATGCTAGCACGCCTTCCGTTTGTGCTACGAACTTCAACTTTTAAGGCACACTTCAATTAAAAAACAACACCTCAAAATTAAACAGTCAGGAACATGTTTTAGGTTGTTTTTTTTTAAGTTGTTTTTTTTTTTCTAAATTTATCCCAGATCTTATTCTACCCATAGTTTTAATACAACATTTAGGAGGGAAGGAAATTTGTAAAACTCTCTGTTGTAATAATGTAATGCAGTATAATTTTTTTTTTATCTGTTTCCATTTTTACCTGATTCGTATATCGTACCCGCTGTATATAAATTTCTAATTTGTAAAAAAAAAAACACCACAAAACGCTTTTAACCCATCAATCACCGATTATCAAGCAGCGTTGTGTAGCGCTGTACACAGTCGCATTAGGTCTCTACGTTACACCTGGGTGACTCTTTAGGTTAAGGGGGAGAGATAATCCACTAAATCATTTTACCAGTTGACCGATTTGCCGCAGTAATCAGGTAATGTGATATCATTTGCTTGATACGGCTGATCAAATGTTGGCGTGGGTTGGGTTAGGGGGTTGGTTGAGTTATGGGTTTGGTTGGATTTTATGGGGGCTGGTTCTACATAGCTTGATATATCTAAGGGGGGGGGGGGTGTTTGTGTATTGCTAGCTTCATTTTAGACGAGTTGGTTGTGTCATTTGAGGTACGTTGTATTGCGAGGGTTGGTAGTATCATGGGGTTGTTGGTTGTAGATTATTATTGTGGGTTGGTTGAAGGTCTATCTAGTTGGTGAATGGAATTATTGAAGGACTGGCTAAAGTATCGGCACCTCGTTGAAATTGGCGGGGGGGGGGGGGGGGGGGGTTAAGGTGTGATTATTGGGGGGGGGGGGGTTTATTGTCTGTTTATATTGGGTGGTTATATTGTTGGTTGAAATTACGGGAAATGACGGGAGTTGATTGCTTTAAATAGGTTGAAACAGCTGCAGGTTGATTAAAATGAGTCACGTGGACATTGTTTTGTTTACAGTTTTCTTGATGTGTTACAACCGCCGCTTAAAGCTCCGAGAATTTTTTTACAGCCAAGGTTTAAAATGCTATCGCTATAATTCGAATGTTAGCGACAATCTTCTACATCGTTCACCTTTGACCTTATGAGCATCATCGTCTTTTGCTTGCACGTGCTGGTCATCGATCTCTTGCTGGAAGATTTATCGATCTGTTGATTGACGCATTCCACCCCACCCCCCACCACTCACAAGATGATGTTCTAGACTTGTCGTAGATCTACTCACCATGTATGTATCTGTGTGTCTTCTCACATAGAATTTTACAGCTTGCAGGCACATTGTTAAGTTTTACTAGAATGTAATAGTTTCACTCGGTTTTAGAATGTAGCACTAGAGGTATAGTAGCACTAACGTTATATCTACATGCAGTTTACATTGTATAAAATTATCAGTAACCTTAGAATTGTAGCACTAGTGCTATAGCTAAATGCGGTACATATTCTATACCAAACATTGTATAAAATTATCAGTAACCTTAGAATTGTAGCACGAATGCTACAGCTACACGTGGTACATATTCTATACACTTACCCGTAACTTTAGAAATGTAGCAGAAGTACTATAGCTAGATTCAGTCCATATTGTATACACTTACCCGTAACTTTAGAATTGTAGTAGCAGTACTATAGCTAGATTCAGTCCATATTGTATACACTTACCCGTAACTTTAGAATTGTAGTAGCAGTACTATAGCTAGATTCAGTCCATATTGTATACACTTACCCGTAACTTTAGAATTGTAGCAGCAGTACTATAACTAGATTCAGTCCATATTGTATACACTTACCCGTAACTTTAGAATTGTAGCAGCAGTACTATAGCTAGATTCAGTCCATATTGTATACACTTACCCGTAACTTTAGAATTGTAGCAGCAGTACTATAGCTAGATTCAGTCCATATTGTATACACTTACCCGTAACTTTAGAATTGTAGCAGCAGTACTATAGCTAGATTCAGTCCATATTGTATACACTTACCCGTAACTTTAGAATTGTAGCAGCAGTACTATAACTAGATTCAGGCCATATTGTATACAATTACCCGTAACTTTAGCAGCAGTACTGTAGGGCCTAGCTAGATTCAGTCCATATTGCCCACA